AAGAATATTGATTGACTTAAAACTAGTGGAGAAAATGTTTTAAAAGTTGAATATCCCATGTATGAAACATTGTTGTGGCACTCTAGGAGACCAGTTGTTGAAAACTCTTCTTGAGTAGGTGTGAAATGTAACATCCTAAATTTTATAATTATTTATCTATAAGTTTCTGCAAATTATTATATATATTAAATATTACGTAAGTTATTGTGAATGAAATTTATGTAGCATTATTTAACCAGATTTTCTAAATTCAATAACATGTATTTTATTATCTAATTTGACTATTTCTCGGACAGCATTGAGAGCACGCTGTAAAATATGAGAAACTCAATTTAAGAAAATTTAAGTAATCTATAACTTAAATAATAATTTATTGAGTGTAGATTAAGAATAAATATAGTTAAGAGAGAAAATCTCTAAATTAAAATTTATAGAAATTCTCTAAGGATTTAACAAGAAAAAAATATTCTGCTAAAACCTTAAGCTAGAAAATTATGGAAAAATGTTTAAAAGGATATAATAATTTTATCATCGATATAGTATGCTTGGAATAATTAATAAAAATGTATAATTAGTTGAAATTAAAATACAAGTCTCAACCAATGAAATTATGACACATAAGCAAATCCTAATTTATTTAATTAATATTAATTAACATAATTAGGAGAGGATCAAGAGACAAAAGTTTATATTTTTAATGGTCAAGATTCTAATTATGATATTAGTTTCTCAAAATTATAATTAATTTTTAAGATACTTTAAAAATTCTACAATGTTCTAGAAAGTTCTACAAAACTCTTCAAAGTAGATATTTAATTACCAAATGATTAAATGGGTTGGAAAGCTTAACTATTAAGATATTCAAATAATTCAAGAAAGTTCTATAAAATTCTACATAATAGAAATCTAGAATTGATTAGATACTTAACCATTAAGATATTTAAATAATTCTACAAAATTTTAGGATGTTCTATAAATTTCTACAAAAGAAAAGGGACACATAATCACCATGTGATTAAAATGAATTGAAAACTTAATCATTAAGATAACTAAATAATTCTACAAAATTCTAGAAAGTGGACATCTCATCACCAAATTATTAAATAAATTGGAAACTTAATCATTAAGATACTTAAATAATTCAAGAAAATTCTAGAAAGTCCTATAAATATCTACAAAATGGACACCTAATCACTATGTTATTAAAATATCTTAGGAAATATCAAGAAATATCTACACATCTAGAAGATTGGAGAATAGAGGTGGAGACTAGTATAAATAGGAGAAACCACACACCAAAAAGCTCACCAACAACCTTTAACAACTAGACATAAACCAATGCCAAAGAAACACCCAAAAATACTCTATCTTTTCCACAACCAAGGAGTAAAACAAGGAGTAAACAACTAAAATTTCAAGAAAAGGGGAAGAAAAGAAGAAGATAAGAAGAAGAAAAAGAAGTAGGAGAAGAAGAAATCAAGGAAATTAGGAAAAAACTAGCAAGCTTGGAGAAATAGGTATGAGTTAGATGTTTAATTTTATTCATGCCTATATAGTTGTAGAATAAGTATCGATCTTTACTTATAAGTTTTGATGCATGGAACCTTAGGTTAGTTGATATGGTTTTTGATTGTACTTTTTGATAAATTTGATGTTTTAAGGTTGAATCTTGAAGTGGTTGATTGTTTATGATTGAATGTTTCTATTGAAATTGTTTGAATTTAATTTGAAGAGTTTGATTGAGAATAATTTTTGAACTGATAGATTAATAGTGATGCATATTGCATATTGCATAATGTCATATTTAAGTCAAAATATTTTTGGGGGGAAAAAGAAAAGAATTTCAAAAAAAAAATATTTCATAAATGAATTTTGTACTAAGGATATTTGATAGAAAAAGAATGAGTTTTGTAATTTTGAAATGATACTTTTTATGTAAATTCTTTTCTTTATGTTTACTATCTGAGACATTGGTGGCGAGAGATTGATTGTGATAGTGGGTACTGTCAAGGACAGTTGGCAGTACGAGATGGATAAAGAAAAGGATAAAGTCAGAGAGAGCTTGATATAGTTGTGAAATTCTGACTGAGGTATTTGTTTTATGCTACCAATGTCAGAAGATAGTAAACGGGATTTGAGTAGAATGGGTAAGACTGGATCTCTGGTCTGGGGGATAGACCTTTGGTCTAGGGAGTGTTTGGGCATGGGCAATCCCATAGATGGCCAGTCTTTATTGATTCTGTGTTGTGGTAGCCTGCCCGGTATACTGACACTCTGACTACTGTCTACTTGTTCGCGTTTAGTGGGGCATTGCCGAATCACTGGACAGAGTGATGTTAAGCTCTAACTTCACTAAACACTCAAAAGGGAAAATCTCCATGGAGTATTGAGTCAAAATGATTTTTAAAAAGTATATTTTCAGTCAAAATCTGCATCTCATTCTCATAATCATATTGCATTATTTAGACTATTATTAATGATAAATATTATCAAATTGTTGTGTGTGTTGATAATTGTATGAACTTATTATGCACTTGTCTAATTTGTTTGTGTGAGATGTGAATAAAATTAAATTTCTAACCCCATAAATATTTTTAAACCCAGATATTGGAGATCTCATAATGCAGAAAAATTGGATGTGCAATTAGAAGGTCAGATGCAAAAATCCAGAGCATAGGATGGGGGTTTTATTTTACTAAGTTGTTATAAAATGGTTTGTAATATTTATTGACTTTTATTGAATAAAACTTTAATTAGATAAATTTAATTCATTTGTTTAAGTATCTTTTCTACACATTATAATAATATAAATATTATTAACCATAAATAATTAGTTATAATTAGCATATGTAATCTGGAGAGGGGGTTACATGAAACTCTTGGATTGGATTTGTTGTGTCTCCTTTAGATTCTTAATCAATATTGGAGTAAGGTATGAAATCGAAGGTTGCAACCTTAAACTAATTATTAAAAAGGTTGCATGATGCCTCAAGGATAGTTAATGGGCTAACTCAATAAGTGATTTAGTAATACATTTCAAGTTCGTGATGCACTTATACCCAACTATACTAGCCTTGACGGTGAAACTAAACTTTCCCAATGTAAGTGATGACACCCAAGAAATCAAATGATAAGGATTGATATTCTAATTTAGTTGTCGAATTAGCGGGTGCATGAGGAATGTAAACAATCGAGTAAATTTGATAGGGTCAAACCACTTAAACTGCTCAAATGTGTCAGGAGATCTTTGTAAGTGAATGCATGATGACACATTTTTTTTGTGTGTGCATGTGATTTGACGTGAATTGGTTGTTGTTCATATGCACTAGATGAATTCCTTATAGTATGATATAATTGTGGTGAATGTTTGAATTTTTTGAGTGTTTAGCTTTCAAACATGTTGCTTTTTTGTTGAGTTGGTAAATGTTGTGAACCACATGAGGTGTATATTATTGGTATACATGTGGATGTTGATAGCGGTATAGATGTTTTCTTCTTATATTTACATTCTTTTTGGAAATCTAGCTTAATCTTACATGTTTTCTTGACAGTGGGAATGTGGTGATCATAATTTTCATGAGAGCAAAACAAGATTAACTAGAGACACATAACACCATGTGGAACCATGTTGATGACATGTAGCTAGATGCTGCTTTCGGAGATGTCTTATATAGACATTGTTTGACCACCAACAACTTAGAATTTTATATTCTGCACCTATTGGATTATTGTACATATATTGTTTATATACTTGTATAGTTGTTCATATACACTTATATGTTCATGTTATAGTGTACATATCCAAATATTAGGAGTATATTATCCTAAGTATGTTAATTGTTCCACTACTAGTTGTATGTGATTCATAAGTATCTGCGTGATGACTATAGTTGGTCGTTACATAAGTGTTGTAAAAATGTTAAAATATTGATAATTTAATTTTATGTATTACAAATTTATTTATTTAATTATGCTTTCAAAAATAAAAAATGTATATTATATTTTATTATATATTATATAAATAAATAGGTTGACCTGTCAAATTTAATATACTTTTTTTATTTATTTCTCACTAGTGTCCTAAGACTTCGCCTTTGACTAATTTAATTCAACCAAAAAATAGGTAAAGTTTAACCAAAGATTATTTCCACCTAGAATCAATCAAAATTTTAAATAAAAATTACATAAAACATAAATATATATCTTTTTTTTTTATTTTTTAAATAGTGGGTTAAATGAGTTAACCTAACTCACTTATCCCCGAATCCGTTTGACTCACAAGTTAAGAGTGTCAGGTTGAAATTTAAATAAAAATCAGGGTAATTTATTTTTCCTTATCCAACCTAACCTACTAAGATTTGTCAAATTCACCTACCCATTTTAACATTTTTATTGATTTCTAGTTCAATTGATCGATCCACTAATACAAGCTTCATAACACTAATGCATATATTTTATTTTTTTTTTCGTGAAGGTTACATATAGTGGAGTAAAACCCCTACATATGTTCTACTCCACTCCATGCACCCTTTCTATTATTTTTTTCAAATTTCTTTATATGGGTCAATCTTAAGAGTGCAAAACCAAATGCTATAACCTTGATTTCTAGTTCAATCAATCAACCCACTAGTATGAACTTTATAATATTGTACATATATTTATTTTCTAATAAAAGTTACATGTACTTATTTTTGTTTACTAATCATACTAAGGTTAAAATCTACGCACTTATATATATTGTTTCAACTCCGTCGTCTCTCTACTGTGTTGATTCTATAGAATTAGGTTGTACATATCTTCTTTAGAAAATACTTAAAGAATGATAAATTTTTCTAAACAAACATTTAACACAATTACATTTAAAATTTAAAACGAAATTTTTTTTCTTGCAATTAAGATACAAACTAACGTCACTCCAAACAATGACTGTCTAAAACAATGAAAGCACCATGCTATACTATTTTACTAATTAAGAGATATTTATATAAGATAAAAAGAAATTAAAAAAAAAACAGAAGGAATTTTCGGTTAAATTAATTATAATTTGGCCAAAAATCTATTTCTCCATAAAACACCACACACATTAGTCCACCTTCACCAACTCCCCCTTTTCTCTCTAACCTCGCTTTACATCACATCATTGTAAGCAACATCCCCCTTCCTTCTCTCTAAAGCAGCAAACCCCAAACCTGGAGAATTCGAAGACCAAACACAAAACCAATGTACATTTTCTCTCCATTATACATATAACAAAAAAAATATTATTTATCCACATAAATCATCCAACAACAATATCAACATTTATTACAAACTATACAACACATACACACATAACCAAAATTACATATATCACCCTCGAAACCTCGACCCCTTCTAAAAATGTTGATTGGTAAATTTTATATATGTTGTAATTATAATATTACTAGGTCAAGTTCTATGTGTATATACATTTTTTTATTTAACAAAAGATATAATTTTTATAAAAATGAACCGTAACTAAATATCTAAAACAGAAACCAAACTGGTCCTTAGTTAAGAAGCCTAACAAGTTTTGGTATCATATATGTATATATGTATGTACACACAAGAACCTAAGTAAAAATTTAAAAATAAAAAATAAAAACAGAAAAACTTGAAATGAAAATTAAAAGAGCAAAGATAAAAACAGAAAGAAAAATGGTAAAGGCCATTGATTTGTTTTTGTTTGTGATGATGAGCGATGGATCGAGAAGCAAAAAAGTGTCAGAAAGGTGTGTAAGGAAGGTTCTGGGGGAGTCTGAAGCGAACCTGCGACGCCGGCGAGCGGACGGCGACGCCGTGCCAGCAGATGCCGCCCTTGCAGGCGTCGTGGGCGTGGGGGGGCGGCGGAGGGTGATCGGCGGCGGCGAAGGCGTAGGTGGCCTTGCGAGAGACGTCCCAGGTGAGCGTGGCGAGGAGAATGAGAGCGACGGCGGCGGTGGAGGCGGCGAGGACGAAGGCGCCGGTGAAGGTGCGGCCGCAGGCGAAGGCGTAGGCCTTGATGCAGACGATGACTGCGACGTAGAGCAGCGTGAGGTTGCTGACTACGGTATCCGACACCGCCATGGAATAGAAGGGATAGAGAATGGGTCGATCTGTGTTCTGTGGATTGATTCTTTTTTAATGCTTCCTGCTCTTGGGTCTTGGGAATGTTCACTTCAGGTTTTCAATTATGACTCTTTCCACTCTCAAATTACCAATCGCTCCCTTCTCTCATTGCCATTTACTATCTTATCTTCACTTCAAAACAAAATTGTTATCTCTATTTCTTTTAACAAACATATCAACAACTACTTTTTTTTTTTAAACAAACTATGCTACACGTGTCCATTCATAATCATGCATTCAATATAAAAGAGTATAAACTCATAATTGTGTAAACTACCATCGAATCTAGACTTGCCTATTCATATTAAATCAACAAGTAGTTAGTTTTAATTAACTTAATCATTTTAAGTTTTTTAAATTTGTAAATATATAAAAAAAAGTATAACTAAAAAAAATCTCAAGAATAAGATAAAAATAAGTTTTTTTTATTAAAAAAAATTAATATGAAAGGGTTTTACTAATTAGCGTATATATATATATAATTATTTTTGTTATTTCTTTTTTTATAAATGTTTGAAGTTTGAAAGAAATTAAAGTTTATTAAAGTAAATTTAATCTCTTTTAACAAACTTTTTATATGTACACTAGCGAAAAAAAATAAAGAAAGAGCGAGAGGCACTTTATGTATTTATTAAAAGAAATAGTAAATTTATTTTGATAATTTACACAATTATTAGAGATTATTTATTATTAAATATGTGTGATTAGTTAATAATTAGATAATTTTTTATATATATAAAAAAATAGAGAGTGTAAACGATTTTGAATAATTATGTATAAGATGACAAAAAATTTAAAAATAAATTTATAAAAAATAAACATAAAATAGAATGAAAAAATATGAAAAAAAGGTATTTTAGAAGTTAAAAGGTAAAATAATTAATAAAATATATATACCCAAAAAGACTCACCTTTACTAATAGTATTGATATATCAAATTCTAATAACGTATTTAAATAACTCACTCATTCAATTCTTTATTAGCATTTTTTTGTCTTCATTGGACAAAAATTAATTTCATTAAACGCGTAGAAATTACCCGTGTTTATACTTTTCGTCTTAATGAAATCTTCTCCAGAAAATTCAACTCCTACATATTAAAAAGTCTAATTATTTATGAAATTTGTTGATTTGATGACATTGTGATAATTATTGTTGGTGGTGGTGATGTTGGTATTCGCCGATTTTCGCAACACCAAGGAGATAATGCCACGTGTTTGTTGTGTTCATTTCTTCTGACGTGGCTCCTTTATCTCTTTTCTTTATTTTATTTGTTTGCGTTTTTGGGCTTTGTGTGCCGTTTCCCTTATTTACAGTACGCTCGTTTCGTCCTCCACCTCTGTGATACGGATAAATAAAGAAAAATGATTCGGCATTTTTCGAAATTCATTCCGAATAATTAATATAATAATATAAATTATAGAATATTAAATTAAATATTTATTTTATAATAAATTTATTAAAAAATATTAATATTTTAATATTCGGAACGTGATTTAGAATAAGTTTTTGAACTGTGTATCATTACTCATAGATAAATGTTTTTTAATAGACAGAAAAGCAGAACTATGAAGACTAGTAGACAACGAATCCTTTTTAACTTATTTTGTACGGATTATACCAACCCCTTTTGCTTACGGTACCGCCTAAAAACATCATAATAAAAAATATCTCACAAACATTATTTATGTCATCATCGTAGTGTCCAACAAACATCACTCTATTATTTTAGACCGCACCTCATAAAAGTACGTTATATCTTCTGGTGGAAAAAAAAATCCATATTTAGAAATTGATTTTTTTTACTTTTATTTCTCTCAATTATGTGTTTTTATTTATTTTTCTCTTTTATATGTATATTTTATATATTATTTTTTAAGACTTAAATATATTTATAATTTTTATAAAATAAATGAGATTTGATATTAATTCTTATAAAATAAAATTTATTGTTCATCTTTTTAACTTTTGTAAATATTATTTTTAATTCCTATAAAATATTTTTGGTACTGAAATAAATTAATTTTAATTTTGATCTTTGTAAAATATATTTTTTTTTATCCTTCTAAAATTAAAATTAATTTGTTTTTGTTTATAATGATTTTAAGATAGATAAGTAATATGTATTATGAATATTTATAAAATATTTAAAGGTATTACATATTAACATAATACCACTAACAATTATAGGTAATGTCTAAAATAGTTCTTAAATCTTAAACCTTTTAATAAACAAATAAATAATTATAAATATTATATAATAACAAGGACTAAAAATAATTGTTCTAAATTTTATAAGGATGAAAAAAAATAAATTAAGAACCAAAATCAAAACTTATTATTTTGTACAAACTAAAAACATTTAAATCTTGTATAATTAACAAAACTATCAAGCATCCCAAAAAAAAGTCATTTTATTATAGATATTATATATTTAAAATATTTATTTATTATAAATTTTTAATTATATAAAGATGAATGTTTATTCTAACTTATTTATAAATTGAGAAAAAAATATTATATTTGTGACAACTTCTAGTTTGCATTCTAAATTTCTAGTATAAATATGCAAATTGATAACTATAGAACATGACTTATAAAATCACTATTGAATTGAAACAAGCTCCTCAGAGAGAGGTATCACATAACAAAATAAAATTGGAATAATATATGTCAACTTAAATGTCTAATAAAGTGAACATCAGTTGAAATTTAACATTATGTCCTTCGCATGAATAAACCAACAGAAAATATGCATCCTAGTTATCATTTCGATGCCACGTTCTATTAGAGTACAAGTTCCATCACAAGGTCTAGTCTCGTCTCCCACATCATCATCCTCATGACGATTCTCGCATGCAACAATATGTAGAAGAACACAACCAAGAAAAAGAGAGTCAAAAAATCTTACTTTGACTCTTAAGGTAAGATATAACCGGATAGCTAAACACACAAAACAAGAGACAACAATTCAGATATAAATTGTATGTTCAATCACAGAGTCACAAAATAGTTGAGCATACATATACACATTAACACAAGTAATGTAATGGACACGGACTTGGTTGTGTGGTATGCATGTGACATCAATAAAACCACTTCATTATACATTGTCCTAAGACACACAAAGAGTAGTCTAAGAGAATATGTAAAATTGAACATTCATCGCACTTTATACTAGGAGGAGATACACCAAAGCATGTTGAGACAACTATGTCGTACAAGTTTCACCTCATGTACACAAACTGACAAACTAGGGCTCCCAAACCCAGTTGTCCCCAAGGTAATGAATTCTTAAACGTTTATATAAGGGGGACCTTTCCTAATAGTGTCTTTCATATCATGTCCATCAAAATACTTAAACATATGATGCATATCACACAAGACCCGGTGCAATTATCATGTTATCATAAATACACATTAACATTGTACATCACATTCCTGTCATACCATTTACTAACATCATTGTTATTTGTTAAGCCCTGCCTTAGACTTCTTGTTGCATAATCCTCACAAGATTCACACACACCAATATACATGTATCAACATTAACTCAACATCATTCGATTCACACATAAACCATAATTACATGAGTAACATACTCAACATATGATATTCCTTTAATAACAACAACTAATACATGAACTACATATCATCACACACTCTCCTTATAAGAAAATGAATAGCCAACGGATGCTGGCTGGCACCCGACATCGGGTACCCTACGCCTAGCATGATTCACATAAAGAGCAAGCGTCGCTCTTTGAACATATCACATTCAAAAGAATACAACAAGGAGCTCCTATAGCTCCCATGTCTAGCGTGGATCATCCCACACCCGACATAAGTAACATAGAGAGCAACTTATGCTCTTTGTTACTCTCCCACTTGACACCCATCATGGTTCCCAAGATCACACCAAAAATTCTCAATCTACAAAGAAACGAAAATCACATAGAACATATACAAACTCAAACCACATATTCCAATCAATGAAAGTGTTCTACAAGCCAAAACATACATCTATAAGCCAAAAATTTCATACTTCCTCATACTCATACTAATTATTTCTTATTAATTCAATTTATTTTATCCCAAGGTTCTACAGGAACCCACAAACACTAACAGATTCACAATTTCAAACAATTGCACACAATTAAACGTAACCACTTATCAATTACATCAATCAGAATACAAAAGAATCATATGGTACACATAAATACAAGTTACAATCATAAATTGTGATTGCTCCATCATATAGCATACAAAATAGGGAAAGATATTAAGTGTCAATCTCACTACTCAACATACATCTCATGTCTTAAAACAACATTAATCACTCCCCATTATCTCAAGCGCAAATCTCCATGGTAATTTTCAATGATTTTTTATTCTCCCAATTCTCTAGAACACAAAAACATAAGAAAATAAATGATAAGCTTAAAAACAAAAAATTGATGTAACACTTAACACTAGTTAATCAAATAAATCAAGTTACATTTCCTTCTCTTAGAGTATTTAATTAATAAAGCATTTAATTAAATTAAAACCATATTTTTTCATTTAATTAAAGTGTTCATATTTAAAAATAACCAAATTTATTGTTTTAAAACTTATTTAATTTATTTTAAAAAATATTGGGGTGCTAGAATATTAAAAAATATTTATAATATAATTTGTAAGGTTAATGAAAAACATTTAATAAAATATATTAATTTTTTAATTAGACTTTTGTGAGCAATTGTTCGAAAAATATATTTTATGCAATTGACTTAATAAGTTATTTGAATTTTAATTTTTTTTATATATAATGAAACTAATATGAAACATATAAGTTATAAATTCAATTAGAGTGTAATATATCATTTAATTATAAATTATCACAGAAAATGAAACTATTAAATTTTATACTAGTTATTTTAAAGTATTTTTAAGTAAATTTTTAATTAGTTAACAGTGTAAATATTTTTTATTTTAACAGTATATGAAAATTAAATTCAAAACTTATTTAATGATCGAAAATATTCTTAAAATGTATAAAAAAAATGTGATAGTTGTATGATTTTAATTTTCATATAATATTAGCATAAAAAATTATATCATTAATTATTTATAAGTTATTAAAAATATAAGTTTAAAATAATT